TTTTTAGGTTATTAAAATTATTCAAAAGAAAAACATCTGGACAATATATATATATACATATTTTCTCTTGCTTTAGCTATGGCATATATATAATGAAAAGAATGACAATGTTGATCATCAAGAAGTAAATCGTCCTTATTATTATTATTGCAGGCATTCAATAAGAGTAAAGAATGAAACAACGATATAATAGGCAATACGAAGCACTCAAACATAGAAACATACAAGAAAAAAAGAATTATTGTGTTACTGCTGTTGTCTTTTTGGATCATGCTAGTAGACTAGTGTTCGCTATCGAAGAAATTCCGATAATCGTCGTATGATGTGCCGACGCGCATGCATTCAACAAATTTCTGCTCTTAGGTTGTAGTATTTGGCTATACAACGATTGAGACCTATACTACTAAATCCCATACCATAGACTGATGGATACATAGAATATGTTCCCGAACGATGCAATTAAATGTATATATTTAGATGAGATGGATATAAACAGAGGCAAAGCATAACATCAAGAATTTAGGGAACAGCTGGTTTAGAAATATATCTTTTTTTTTTTCTTCTTCTTCTTCTTTTATTTTCTTTGCTTCGGCTTTATCGTTTTATTAACGATCGTGTGAAAAATCCAATATCTTGTTAGTGTTCTTTTGTTCTCTCTCACATTTATTTATTCATTCATTCATTCATGTTCAACATTATTATTATTTACAATTATTGTAAATACTACTGATGACAATGCGAACAAATTTTATTTCTATTGAACAAGAGAATAGTAATGTATCAAGAATTAATAATTTTTAGTTTTTATGAAAAAGTTTTTTGTTTTTGTTTTCTAAATAGAACTAAAAGAAGCTTTTGCTCTATTCGATCGACTTGGTGGTGGTGTAATTAGTATACAAGATCTTGCTTTTGTTATGCGTTCTATTGGCTATGAAACAACACCATCGGAATTAGAATCTATGATTCGAGAAGTTGATCAAGATGGTTCGTTTTGTTGAATGTAGAAATTAATAAAATGACATATTTCTTTTACTTTTTTTTAATAAATCTTTAGGTAATGGTCTTATTGATTTTGATGAATTTAAAGAAATGATGAATCGTAAAGGTGATAGTCGATTAGAAATGTTTAATGATGAACTTCTCAATGAAGCATTTCGTATATTTGATAAAGATGGAAATGGTTTTATTAGTGAAATGGAACTTCGTTCTGTGATGAGTAATCTAGGTAATAATGTTTTTTTTTTTATTTTTTTTAATTGTAAATAAAAGAAAAAGAACAAAAGAAATAAATGAATTATTATTTTGTTTTTTTGTATTCAATATTATAGGCGAGAAATTAACTGATGATGAACTTAATGATATGATCAAAGAAGCTGATTTAGATGGAAATCATCAAGTTGATTATGCTGAATTTTCTGCACTTGTTCGACGTCTTCTACAAATAGAAAATCTTTCAACAACAATCAATGGAACTGGAGCATATGAAGGACGTGGAATTATTCCATATATTGATGAAGATCTCGAAGAAGAATTTACTGATCATCTCAATGACAATAATAGAAAGTGAAACGACAGATGTATTTATATATTAATGTCGGATGAAGAAAAAGAAAACAAAAATATATATGCAATAATGAGCTCAGAATATTTTTCTATTATTTTTTTCTCCCTCTTCATTTTTGTCTTCTTAATGTTTATGGATAATTAAACTTAAAAATATATAAAACAAAAAAATAGAAAAAAAAAACCAAATATTTTCCTATGTAAAGTTTAACAACAACAACAACAACAACAAAATAAAAAGATGCATTGTTCAGATAGAAATCTACATAATGAAATTGCATTTCTATTTTGATTGACATTTATTATGATGATTTATTTTATTTACTTTATATTAAATCATTTTAACTAGCTAATAATTTATACATGTACTCAAAAAAAAAAAAATTAATCAAATTTTGTCTGTTTGAGCAAACAAAGAAAAACAAATTGTTTTGCTTGTTGTTTTTTTTTACTATAGACAATAGATGAATAAAAATTAGAAAGGTAATCTTTTTAAAAGTTTATCCGTATCAATATCCTGTGGTAAATCACCAAATATAGAACCACGATTAGGTCCAAGACGTGATGAACAAAATGCATCACTAACTGTTTCTGGTAAATGACGTATAAGTAAAGCAGCTTGAAGACATAATGCTAATTGTGTAGCTAATGTTCGTGCATGACGTTCAAGTATTTCATTAGAAAGATTTTTTGTTAATAAATTTTTTTCAATACGTTCCATTGCTGTATCTAAATATTTATTTGAACCTTTGGTTTCATGCATAAATGATAAATAAGCTTGAAGTGATTCAGGAGATTTTTTCATTGCACGTAATATATCTAAACAAATCACATTACCGCTACCTTCCCTAAAAAAAAACAAAAATACAATAATCACATCGATAGTGGTTTTTTATTTTTTGATGGATAAATCTTATCTACCAAATACTATTTAATGGTGCATCACGATATATACGAGGCATAATTGATTCTTCAATAAATCCAGCTCCACCAAGACATTCTAATGCTTCATATGTTGTTTCAGGTGTTCGTTTACAAATCCAAAATTTTGCTATTGCTGTAGCTATACGAGCAAATGCTTTAACTTCATCAATATTTTTTGATTGTTTATTATTATAAGTTGCATCAAATAATGTTGCAAGATACATAACAAGTGCTGTAGCAGCTTCTGATTCAAGTAATAAATCTATTAGAACTTGTTTCATAAGTGGTTGATCGATTAATAATTGACCAAATGCTTTTCGATGACGAGCATGCCAAGTAGCCTAACATAAAAGACAAAAAAAAAAACAAATTTCTCTAGAGATAATCATAATTCTCAAAGACGATTAATTCAACATAATAAAGACTATTTCTATTTAAAAGTTTTTTTTTTTCAATATAGTTTTATAATACAAAAAAAAAAAAGAAAATATCAAATTATTACCTGTAATAAACCTTGTCGTATTAATGCTGCACTTCCAATAGCAGCATCTAAACGTGTACCATTTACCATTTCAATAATAGTTTTAACACCATCATGTTCTTTACCCAGAAGCCACTAAATTATATTTATTTATTTATTTAAATTTAATTTAAAATAATTAAATATTTCTATTTACAGCTTGAGTATTATTAAATTCAATTTCACTTGATGCATTTGATTGATTACCAAGTTTACTTTTTAATCGTTGTATATAAAATGGATTTCGTTCACCATTTGGTAACCATCGTGGAACAAAAAAACAAGATGGTATATTATTTGTTGATGATTTATTATTTATATCATCATTTTGTATATGTGCAAGAACAAGAAAACCATCACACATCGGTGCTGAACAAAACCATCTAATAAATAATAAAAATATAATTATTAAATTAATAATTTATTATAATTAATAAATTTTAAATTTACTTATGACCGATAAGAATATAACGTTTTTCATCTTTATTATCACAATAAGCTTGTGTTGTATTTGCACGAACATCACTACCACCTTGTTTTTCTGTCATTGCCATTCCTTAAAAAAAACAATATAAAATAGTATTTTTGTTTTGATAAAATAAATCATCTAACCAATTGTTAATCCAGATTTAGTATTAGCTGGTAAACATCGTCGATCATATTTACGCGATAATATTTTATTTAATGGAAAGCTATTTGTTATATTTGAACTTGTACGATGAAGATATCGATGAAGTACAGGATAACCAGCATATGTCATTGATAAAGGACAACACACACCAGGTTCTACATGACTAAGTATATAAAGTGTTGCCTTGAAACAAAAAAAAAAAACAAATTTCAATTCAATAAAAAAAACCCAATGTCAATGATTTACTGCATGTTGTAGATGTCCATGTGGATTAACTTCAGTTTTAGTTCCTGATAATGGTTCCCATGCAACAGAATGAACCTATTCAACAAAAAAAAGAAAACAAAATGTTTTCTTTTTTCTCGTATTTATTTGAATTGCTTACACCATATCGCATGCCTATTCCCATAAGATCATGATAAGAAGGATGAAAATGAACTTCATCAATACGTTGTCCATAACGATCAAATTGTTGTAATGTTGGTAGATATCGATTAGCTCGATGTCCTTGTTCAAACCAATGAAAAGTACCTAATTCAGCAGCCATTTCTATTGTTTGTCCACCATTTTCTTTTGTAACAAATGTTTGTAATGCTAAATCACTTTCATATAGATCCACAAATTCAAGTGGTGGTACCTGATTTGTTACTTGATGTGTAAATTGTTGTGTCATTGGTCGTCGTGGAGGTTCATAGGTATGCGATGATTGATGACCTTCTGTTACATTTTGTTGTTTTTCTTCTTGATTATTTTCATTATTATTATTAATAGAAGTTTTTACTTGTGTTACAACAGTTCGTTGTAATAATGGTCGACTAATTAATAATAAAGGAGAACGTAGCATTATCACTATGCTTATTTTCTAGAAAGATAATTGCTTAATATCATCATCATCAACATCATCAATGCTTATTTATTACCATATTTTCTTTAATTCAAATTATAATTATAATAATATGTACGATACATGATTAGAACAGAAGCGTAAATTAGTCGTATTTTTTTTTTTAGATTTTTGTTTTTTTAATAAACTAACACTAGAAGGAGGAAGAAAAAAATCGCATAGATCATACAAAACAACAAACACACACAACAGAGACGAAACAAAAAAAACAAAAGCGAAAGAGCAAAATTAACGTATTTAGCCGCTATACATTATATCTGGTATAAGGTGGAAAAATCTGCCCATATATATGATGTTACATATAAAAGAAACGGGAGAAACGAAAAAAAGAAAAGAAAACAAGATGCATATGCCTAAAAAAAACTCACACGCACGTAAACGTTCCTAATTTATGGCCAATAAAAGCATGAAAAAAAAAATAATGTATGAAATTTTCTTTTTTTTATTATTATTTTGCTCTAATTTTGAATAGCTTGCCAAAGTCTTGGATAAACATCTTTTTTGCATTTTTTTGATGTTTTAACAAAATTCATTAAACCTTGATAATCACTTGTATTACCCATAAATAAAAATGCTGAACGTGCATGTTTCATTAATGATGTTAATTCTTCAATATCATTATTTGTTGTCATATGTGCCATTTTATTATGTACACAACGTGTATATGCATGTAAACATTTTTGCATTAATGATTGTACAAATGGTAAACGTAATATTTGATTTGATGATGAACCATTTGGATTATTTTGTGAAACATTATAGATATTAAATGCAAGACTATGTAATAAATATGGATTAACAATAACAGCTGTTGCTGTTGTAACAAATTCTTGTAATTCAGCATTGCCTAAATAGAATTGAAAGAAAAAAAAAAATATAGTTTTTGTATCTAAAATACTGGATGATCTTTTAAATTGAATTTCCTTTTTTTTCTTTAGAGGAAAAAATTGTATAAAAATGATTATTTTCTCATACCTAATTTAAGTGCAATTTTTAAAAGCCATTTGACATCTTCACCATAACGTGGTGTTGGATGATTTTGTTCACTACGTCGTTCCATATGTGCATGATTTTGACGAGCTCGTTCTAATGCAAGTGTATTCATTGCTAACATACCAACACGAAATGCATTAAGTAAATATTGACGATGATTTGGATCCGTTTGCTGTTGTTGTTGTTGTTGTTGCTAAAAATGAATTATTAATTAAGAGAAAAAAATGTTTTTTTTTTCTTTTTGAATAAAAAAATAATTTTTACTTCAGCTGATGGTGTTGTACTTGGACTAGTAACATTTGTTTGTTGTGTTGTCGTTGTTGCTGAAGGTGAAACATTTGGTTCTGTTACTGGTGATATAACTAATGGAATTTGTCTAATAGGATAAAATGTTTGTTGTTGTTGTTGTTGCTGTTGATTTTGATTAGGAGAATAAATTTGTGGATTTCCTGTTTGTGTTACATGATGTACAGTATATGCTGTAGGAAAATTTCCTGGACTAACAAGTATAGCATTAGCCATTTGTGGAGGTGGTGGATGACGATGATGATGTGAATGCGGATGAAAATTATTTGTTGGACCTGTATGAAAAGCAAAATGTTGTTGTTGTTGAGATGAATATTGTATTGGAATGATTTGTTGATATGGTACTTGTTGATGAAAACTTCCTAATTGATGATGATGCATTGGTGGTGGAGGTGGTGGTGGTGGTGGAGGGCCATGTTGTGCTTGAATCATATAAGCATGAGTATTGAAATGTGTTGATGGATGTGATTGAAATGGTGTTGAAAAATTTGTATTTTGATTATTTGTTGTATACATCATTGGTGATGGTGATGTTGTTGTTGATGATGAATTTGTACTATTTGTATGTGTCCAATGTAAATCAATTGGATTTGTTGGTGTTACAGTTGGATTATTATCAAATGTTTGTCGTATATCAACAACAGTTGTATCATCATCACTATTTAATGAATCACCTGTACGTTCATAATACATTTCATACCAACGTTTAGCAACTTCAAATAAAATATCAATAAATACTAAATTACCATCACGTGTGGCATTTTCAATTGTTGTTAATGCACGTTCAAGCATATCAATATTTTGTTCTTTACATTGTGCTAATGCTTGACGTATTTCAGCTGCATTTAATGCATGTGCATATTTTAATGTTGATAATGCTAATTCAGCAGCTGTACGTACAACAGCATTATCACGTGAACGTGATGCACGATCAGCTATGGCAGCACATTCAGGTGGTGTTAATTGTCCTTCCCAACATTCAATTAATATTAATATTGCTTGTAAACCAATATCAATAGCTGTTGATGTTATCCATGAAACAAGACTTGAATATGTACGTATCATCCAATTTATTTGAACATGATTATTAACACCAAGTGCATAAAGTGCAATTGTTATTGCACATAAATGTAAATTTCTATGTGGTGGTGGATAATTATGTGTTGGACCAACAAAAAGTGATGTTGATGTTGTACCACCAGCACGTTGTACAAGTGTTTTAGCTAATTCAAACATGAAATGACATAATGCTTCAGATGGTTGATTAGGTATACATGGTGAACGATTTTTTCCATTCGATGTATTCATATGACCTTTCGAATGTTTTAATATATGTGAATTTGGTGAAGATTGTTGTTGTTGTTGTTGTTGTAAATTAATAGATTTTGGTATTGTTGAAGTATTTCTTGTTGTTGTTGTTGTTGTTGTTGTTGTTAAATGAAGCGTTGGTGAAGAAAGAATTTCTGGTGATGATATATTCATATCCATACGTGATGGAGATTCATTTCGAACTATGAAAAAAAATGTTTTTATTTTAAGGAAGGGTTACGATATCGAACTAAAGCTGTAGGGTTTATCCAAATGAGGTTACAATCATTTTTTTTCAAGAGCTTCTTTCAACGTAAAACAATTATCGATTTCTCAAAAATGAATGTTTAGGTAAAGCGAAAATGGAGTTATCACCTTGTTGAAAGACAAAAAAAAGAAACTTGAAAAAGTGCGTTTTGTAGTGTAGCTTATCATCTACAACCTGATATGCAATGGGTCTCCAAAATTATTCAACAAGGTTTAATTCGGGTTTTTTTTCGTGGCCCTTAAGTGCTAGAAAGGATCCAAATAGTGATTTGAATAGAGAATATTGTTGTCAACAAGAATCCGAAAAAATGATAGTCGTCATGAATTTTCCCAAAATAGGGTTTCTAGAAAACCAAAACCCTGATTTTTCAATGTTCAGAAGCCGCAATAGAAAATTTGTTTTAATAGTCTAGAATTATAGAGTAGCCAATTCTCTACAAAATGAGACGTCTCCGAGCTTTCTATGACCTTCCCTTCAAAAGTTATAAGCATTACAAAAATCGAAAAAACAAATGCAATTTACGAGAAAATCGATTAAAAAACGCATTTTTTCGATTTTTGTGACGCTTATAACTTCTGAAGGGAAGGTCGTCGAAAATTCGAAGACGTCTTATTTTACAGAGAATTGGCTGCTCTATAATTCTAGACTGTTAAAACAAGTTTTCTGTTGCCGCTTCTGAATGTTAAAAAATCAGGATTTTGGTTTTCTAGAAACTCAATTTTCGGAAAAATTCATGACGATTATCATTTTCTCGAATTCTTGTTGGCAACAATATTCTCTATTCAAATCACTATTTGGATACTTTCTACTATTTAAGGTCACGAGAAAAAATCTAAATTGCATCTTGTTGAATCCCAATAATGAAAACCTAACAATTTTTCGAGCTTTTCAAAAATTATTTTATTACACTCAAACAACATTTCTAAGATCATATTCGAAAAGAATACAAACTCATAGCTCTCGACTCATCGGAAATACTTTCTCGCGGATCAAAAGGTTGACAACTATCTTGTCTAAATACTTTCAAATTACTCATTAATTTAGATTAGTCTCAACTACAAAATTATATATAGCTTCATAGGTACGAACATATTTCTCAAAAATCATGACTTGAATTTCGAGTCAATTAGTTTTAAAATGATATGATTGAACTTATGAAACTAATATAATTTTTAGCAGTCGAGATGATTCTGGATTAAAATGCTACTAAAAATAGATCGAAAAATTTCTATAGAACTCTTGAGTCCTGTTTAAATAAATATTATTATTATTAAAATCTAACCATTTCGTTGTATTGTATCACGTTCACTATCACTTTCTGAATCAGCATTTGCTTTTGATGATGATATACGAATATTTCGACGTGATACAGTTGGTGAATTATCACTTGAATTTGTTTCTGGTGCACTACTATCAATACTTGTAAAACCTAAATAAACAACAACAACAACAACAAAATTATATAAAATTTGAATATTATCTAACTACCATTTGATATACGTTTTGAACTTGTTTTTAAATTTAAACAACGAAATTTAGCTTCCCATGCTTTTTGATCAAAATTTTCACCTTCACTTTCATCTAAACCAGAACTATCTATTTCAGTTAATTGTTCACCATTTATATTTGATGCTGTTGTTGTTGTTGTTGTTAATAATTTTTTATGTTGTGAACGATTTGATACTGATGATGATGATGATGATGATAATAATGATGAATTTGTATTTGTTTGTTGTGATAATATTGATGTTTGATTAAGTTTTTTTGAACCAACATTAAATGGATTTATATTTGGATTTTTAAATAAAACATGTATATCACGATCAAGTAATTTATCAAGAATTTGTATTAAACGTCCTTGATCATCTTTATATAATGTTAATAAATTAAGTGCAAGATCACTACGTTGACGACGAATACCTTCACATAATATTGGATTTTGAGCTACAAAAAAATAATAATAATAATTCAATGAATTTTTTCGCAAAGAAATCTACCTTCAGATATATAACATTTAGCTCCAAGTGCACAAATAGCTGTATCAAATGCAAGTAATTCATCCGAATCATTAAGTTGATTATTATTTTCTATAGATGATAATATAGAAAAATTTTGTGATAATGATAAATTTGAATTTGAATTTATATTTATACGATATAAACTAAGTGATCTTAATGTTTCAAATATATATGTTGCTAAACTAAGTGGTAATAATATACCATCATCACGTATATTTAAAAGACGTGTACATAAATGTTCAGCACGTTGTCTTAATATATCAATTTCATTTTGTCCAAGTATAATTTTTTTTAATTCTTGACATATTTCTTGTTCACAATTAAGTAAACGTACTTCAAGTGCTTTTGTTGTTGCTGGTATACGACATATTTCAAGACCAAGTAAACCAATACGAAATGCAAGTTGTTGATATTCAATTGATTCATTTAATATTGTACATAAAAATGCACAACGAGCTATTGGAAATTGTGCATAATCTGATATATGAACATCTAAATAAGCTAAAAAAAAACAAAAAATAATATTCGAATTATAATTGTCAGAAATTTTTGTTTGAATATACAAAAATAAAAATAAAAAAACAAACCTTGAGAAGATGATGAATATTCTTCATTATTAAGCATATAATCAGCTAATTCTTTAGCAAGTTTAAATACTTCATGATGATAACCATGTATACGTAATGCTTCACATCGAACAAATGCAATCTAAATTTTCAAAAAAATTAAATTTTTATTAATAAAATTTTCTTTATTTAAATACTTGTAATGGATCATTAATTATTTTTAATATTTTAAATATATATGGTTCAATTGTTGTTGTTGGTTTTATTTGTTGAAGTTTAATTAATGATTGTTGTTGTTGTTGTTGATCAGAAAAATAAATTCGACATTCATCACTACTATTTGATGATGATTGTTGATCAATATTAATACCACCACTACATGATTCTTCTCCACTATCAATATCTTGACATTTTTCATTATTATTAATTATATCATTATTATCATGTACAATTGAATTTATTTCTTCATGAACATTTAATATTGGATGAGATATTATTTGTTGTTGAATATTTAAATTAATATTTGTATTTGAATTTAATTTTGTATAACCATCTGTTAATAATTCATCATATGAACGAATATATTCAGACCATAAACGTTGATTATTATTATTATTTTCTTCAATTTTATTTGGATAATATGGATAATTATTCCAATCAATTTGACATATTTCAATAGCTGGTAAAAAACCTGGAAATATATCAATATCACGTCGTTTTTGATTTAATGTACGATCATTATTTAAATTAATTGTTGATGTTGTATAAACACCATTTGTTGTTGTTGATATATTTGTTGTTGTTGTTTTTTGTTTACATATACGTTCAATTATAGATAAATGCCATGAACATAATTTCATATAAACTATATTACGTTCATCATTATTTAAACGTGGATTAAGTGCAATTAAACGCCAAATTTGAACGATTTCATCACATAATGCTGAACTTGCTTGTTGAACTAATGATGTATTATGAGGTTTTAATCCATTGGTACCACGTTCATTATAAACATTAGAAACTTTTGTTGTAAACCACCATTGAATTATCTACAAAAAAAAAACAAAAAGAAATTTTAAATTAAAAAAATTGATTTTTTTTTTGTATTTAACGAACTTGTTCTTGAGCAAGACATTGACGAGTAAGAATATCAAGTAATTGTGTACCATTAAGATCATGTCGAGCAAGCATTTCACGAACGATTTGTAATAAATTCCACATACCTTCGGGTTCACGACCACGTAATGGACGTAAAAGATTTGAATATTCAGTTGTAGCTAAGATAGGAGGACTTGTTAAATAGGTTACATCACTAAAAGGAAAAAAAAAACAAAAATAAGTTTCTTTTTCTTTCTTATACAAGAATTGAAAGAATTTATAGTTCGAATCTGAAAATTTTTGAATCCGATGACACACAATAAAAAATTCTTCGTGTAGTTATTAAATTTTTCGACATTCTAAACAAATGATATTTACAGTTTTGAGTATTCTTTATTATCATCGACCTCAAATGTTACTTTTGTTATACGTAATAGCCAATAGCTTGGAGAATTTTGGATTTTTATATAAATCCCATTAGACATCTTATCATGACAATGGGTGACATTATGCTGAGAGTAGATAATCTGACACTTCAGAATTATATCTTTCTTTTCATACACTTCAAATGTATTATATGCTATCAATAGATTAATCTCTCTTATAGCTTCTCGTAATAATAATGAATTGTAAGATTATTTCAAAATTTCTAATACAATGATTAAAAAAAAAAACATTTATCTAAGTTTCTTTTTCATACCCAACAACTTGTGGTGTTGGTTGACAAAAACGATGTAAAGTTTTAGTAATATTTTCTTGTAAACTTGTTTCATCTAAATACCAAACAGATATATCCGATGAAAGACCACCAGCTGTTGGATCCTATATAACAAAAATTAAATTTAACAAAAAAAAAACAAAAAAATTCTTTTCTTCTCTTACTGGTGCTCCTTGTAACATATTCACA